TCAGAAAATATTCAAATTCGGGTGTTTTCTAAATGCTTATTACAATGAATGCAAATGTACAGTTTTTGTAACAAAAAACTTTAGGAGATATATAGAACATTATTTTGAAAAGAAATTTTGGACCTTTCATTCAGTTTTTGCGATTTCAATCTATTTATTCAAAATCAAGTTGTTAGGTTTTTCGATTGTTTTGATATTAATTCTGACATTACAAATCAAACAGGTAGACCTCTATACTTGCAATTTTTTCAAAATCTAGCCTACCTTGTCTTCATTGTACCATGGTATTATATCGTTTTATTAAAACCATGGTACAATGAAGAAACGGTAGGCTAACTTTGAAAAAATTGCAAGTATAGAGGTCTACCTGTTTGGCTTGTAATGTCAGATTTAGTATCAAAACAATAATAAATCAAACAACTTGTGGCATTTATTTTAAATTAATAATTGAAAACCGCGAAAATTGAATGAAAGGTCAATTTTTTTTTTTTTAAATCATGTTCATGTGGTTTAAATCATGTTCTGGCAACGCCATAACTTTTGACAGAGATGTCACATCGCTTAATGACATACCGCGTTTGAAGCGTCAGTGCAAGCAGATTTTTACCATGAACCAACACACGCCACGCGAGCGCTCTGAAATTTACATTTAACAGAAGAAGTCAATTGTGAAAACTCAAGGTGCTTTTAAAACATTAAAAAATGTGAGAAGTGCGCCTTCTAAGAACACCATTAAGCGTTTATAGGTACGAAAAATTTTCGACTGGTAAGGCTCTTTCTAATCCGAAGAGGCCATATAAAAGTCGACCAAGGCGATCGGCCGAGAATATCGCTGCCTTACGAGCCAGTGTTGAGAGGTCCCCAAGAACCTCCCAAAAACGCCGTTCTCAGCAATTGGGCATGGCTCGGTCCACTTTACAACGAATTATTCGCATTGATTTGCATTTATTCCCGTACAAAATTCAATTGACGCAAAGAATGTTGCCTGCGAAAAACCTCGTCGATTGGAATGGGCCCAAAGGTCCGTCGAATATGGGCAACCCTGTAGATATCTCTAAAGGTTTATTTCGCTACAAAAACTGCAGATTTTGTCGATGCATACGTTAAAATAAACATTTTGAAAAGACTCGAATCTGAATATTTTCTGAAAAAAAAAATTGTTATTGGAAAGAAAACACTACATAAACAAATAAAGTTGACATATTAAGCCAAGAAATTAAAAAAATTAAAATCGTATGGTATTATAGCCCTACCTTGATTTTATTGTACCATGATTAAAACATGTTCAGTATAAATAAGTCTTGAAGCCTTAAGGTGGGAATACATTAAGTCAGCCAAATAAGCGCTTTATGTATTCCTACCTTTAAGGTGCAAGTACATAAAAGCCTTTTAAACTGGCTTAAGTCATCGGCTGGCTTCTTCGTAGAGGAATAAAGGAGATTTAGGTTGACTTAGTTCGATTTTGGCCCTGCGCACCTTTGTTCTTTTACGAAGAAGCCAGCCAATGACTTAAACCAGTCAAAAAAGCGTTTTTTTTTTTGGTATTCTCACCTTTAAACCAGTTAAAGGCTGAAAGGTAGGATATTTGGTAAAATTGAGTGGGTAACGTCATGCAATCATGTGATAGCAATTTTTCAAAATTTTTTGACAAAATCTCATTGTCAAAATGCGTATTTACAAATCCATTGTGTATACTCAGCGTGTTTTAAAATAAGTTACAGAAAACTACTAGATGTTTATTATTATTAAAATTCAAGTAACCATGGTACAATGAAGAGAAGGTAGGTCAACTTTGAAAAAATTGCAAATATAGAGGTCTACCTGTTTGGCTTGCAATGTCAAAATTAGTATCAAAACAATAAAAAATCAAACAACTGGTTGCATTTATTTTGAATAAATAATTGAAAACCGCCATAACTGAATGAAAGGTCAACACTTCTTTTCAAAATCATGTACTATATATCTCTAAAGGATTATTTCGCTACAAAAACTCGAGATTTTGTCGATGCATACGTTGAAATAAATATTTTGAAAACATCCAAATTTGAATATTCTCTGAACAATTTTTTGTTATTGAAAAGAAAACATATACATAAACAAATAAAGATGACATATTAAGCCAAAATAAAAAAATTGAAATCATATGGTATCATAGCCCTACCTTGATATCATTGTACCATGCAAGTAACCTTGATTTAATTGTACCACGGTAGGATATCCTTTTTTGCAAATGTATTTAAAAAAAAACAACTTGGCTTGCAATTTGGGTTTGCAATAATGTGTCCAATGAAAAATAAAGCCTCAAGATGCAGGTACATAAAGAGAATTTTTATTGACTAAAGGTGGGAATACATAAAGCGCATATCTGACTGGCTTAAGTCATCGGCTGGCTTCTTCGGAAATGAACAAAGGAGCCTAGGGCCAAAATCGAACTAAGTCAACCTAAAACTCCTTTGTTCATCTACGAAGAAGCCAGCCGATGACTTAAGCCAGCCAAATATGCGCTTTATGTATTTCCCATGGCAGAAGAATCCAGGTAGATGCATCAACGCTTGGGAGCATTGATATGTCAAAAAATTTTAAATGTTTTAATCAAATATAAGTAGATTTTTATATGTTTTCTTATACTACGTCATTCGGAGGCTATTATAATTCGCGTTTTTCAACAATTTTTTCAAATTTAAATAATTTTTCATTCAACATTTTCAATTCCAAAATTGGTTTGACAGTTCATTGTCCCAGCAGCTGTGTCGACGCGTCTACCTATATTCTTCTACCATGGTATTTCCACAAAGAACAAATACTCGTAGGGTGAGCAAGTATAAATAATCGACCACATTCGATCTAAGTCAACCTAAAACTCCTTTGGTATTTTACGAAGAAGGCAGCCGATGACTTAAGCTGGGAATACATAAAGCGCTTATTTGGCTGGCTTAAGTCATCGGCTGGCTTCTTCGGAAATGAACAAAGGAGCCTAGGGCCAAAATCGAACTAGGTCAACCTAAAACTCCTTTGTTCATCTACGAAGAAGCCAGCCGATGACTTAAGCCAGCCAAATATGCGCTTTATGTATTTCCAGCCTTAAGCCAGCCAAAAAAGCCTTTCATATACTCTCACATTTATTTACGCCCATGGCATGGTAAAATATACACACATAAAACTACAGAATTATTGTAAATTAGATGCAACAAGTTGTTCTCGATTATTTGATATATTTTCTCATTTTCAAAATAAGTCAAATAGCTCGAAAGTTGAATAAAATATATAGGTTCTACATGTAAAATTATATAGTTCTAAAGGGCTAAGTACATAAGAAGCTTGAAGTCATGGCTAGGCATATTTTGTGACATTTCATAAAGGGATTACAGAGCCGCACTAAAATCCTGCCGTCGTTTTCCATTATAATTTGACATTAATATGCCTAGCCATGACTTCAAGCTTGTTATGTACTTGCCCCTTAATTCCAAAAATGTAATTTTTGGAAAATAAACTAATTTACTGAACTTATTTTCTTTACTTTACATTGTTGGACAAATATATCTTAAGCTGGAAATACATAAAGAGCATATTTGGCTGGTTTCTTCTGAAATGAACAAAGGAGCTTAGGGCCAAAATCGAACTAAATCAACCTAAAACTCCTTTGTTCATCTACGAAGAAGCCAGCCGATGACTAAAGCCAGCCATATATGCTCTTTATGTATTTCCAGCTTTACGCTAGCATTACATAATAACAATGTTCTATGTGGTTGTTATTGAATTGCATTTGTTGTGATTTTGCTTATACCTTCTAACATGCCTTCTAATAATTCTACCAAGGTATAATTGCGTTTACAGTTTACGCGATTGAGAAAACCCAGTGGATTTAAATTGCCAATTCCCATTAAAAATGACAATGACAAAAATGACGGAAAAGGGTTGCTATATTTCATTTAGCCTCTAGAATACATCTCATGGCAGAAGAATAGAGGTAGATGCATCAACGCTTGGGAGCATTGATATGTCAAAAAAATGTAAATGTTTTTTCATTATTTTATTATAATTCCCGTTTTTCAACAATTTTTACAAATTTAAATAATTTTTTATACAACATTTTCAATTTCAAAATTGTTTTGACAGTTCATTGTCCCAGCAGCTGTGTCGATGCGTCTACCTATATTCTTCTATCATGCTACCATGGTAGAAGAATACAGGTAGTCGCTTCGACACAGCTGCTGGGACAATGAACTGTCAAAACGATTTTGGAATTGAAAATGTTGAATGAAAAATTATTAAAATTTGTAAAAATTGTTGAGAAATGCATATTGTTACAACCTCCGATTTGCATCGTATACCAAAATATATAAAAATGTACTTATTTTTGACAAAACAATTTTAAAATAATGACATATCAATGTTCGCAAGCGTTGATGCATCTACCTATATTCTTCTACCATGCATGCTACATCTACTGTTACACCATGGGTAAACGCTAGTATAGCTAACAATTTAAGCTATTTATGATGCGGTACAAATGAAAAACTAATAAAAAATTTGATTCTTGTGTTGTGATTATTGCAGAAGAATAGAATAGGTGCATCCACGCTTGGAAGCATTGATATGTAAACAAATTGTAAATGTTTTTTTCAAATATAAGTAGATTTTTATATATTTTCTTATACCACGTCATTCGGAGGTTATTATAATCCGCGTTTTTCAACAATTTTTGCAAATTTAAATAATTTTTCATTTAACATTTTCAATTCCAAAATTGGTTTGGCAGTTCATTGTCCCAGCAGCTGTGTCGATGCGTCTACCAATATTCTTCTACCATGTGTTGTGTTGTAGAGTTTCCACGATAACATGTTTTAACAAACAACAATCTGCTTAGCACTATTTACACACCTAGAATTCTAGCAGTTAGTTTGCGTTACAATATAAGAAACCACCAAAATTAATGACATTTAAACACAACCAACTATTTGACACCAGAGGTCGCTCGCTAAAGAAAGAAATTGCGAAATTTTAGTTTGACACTTCGCGCCAAAATACCGGGCGTCTGCTGTCAACAATTTGCGTGTTGTAATTTTCACAAAGGCAAATTTCTGCAATACACGTCAAGGCAGCAGCACATTTTAAGAAATAAAGCCGAAAGGAGCGGTTCAAAGAAGCATCGTGTGTTTGTGAAGAGAAAACAAAAAAGTAATTTGAAGAAGTTCTTGAGTGTTTACTGTGTAAATAAAAAAGAAACAAGATGTTTGAAGCCCGTTTAATCAGCGCTACCATTCTCAAGAAAATCTTGGATGCCATCAAAGATTTGCTAAATGAGGGAACCTTCGATTGCAGTGATTCGGGAATACAGGTAAGAAGAGATAATTTGCATTTGATAAATGATAAAGTGTACTCAATTTTTAATCATTTCCCTTACAGCTCCAAGCTATGGACAACTCCCACGTTTCCTTGGTTTCCCTTACATTGCGTTCGGATGGCTTTGACAAATTCCGTTGTGATCGCAACATTTCAATGGGCATGAATCTGAGCAGCATGGCAAAGATTTTGAAGTGCGCCAACAACGACGATACAGTGACCATCAAAGCCCAGGATAATGCCGATACAGTTACCTTTATGTTTGAATCGCCCAATCATGAAAAAGTCTCCGACTATGAAATGAAGCTAATGAATCTCGACCAAGAACATTTGGGCATTCCCGAAACAGATTACTCCTGTGTTGTTCGTATGCCTTCAATGGAATTTGCACGTATTTGCCGAGATTTGGCACAATTCAGTGAATCGATGGTTATTTGCTGTACCAAGGAAGGTGTAAAATTCTCGGCATTTGGTGATGTTGGTTCGGCCAATGTCAAGTTGGCACAAACCTCAAGCGTGGACAAAGAAGATGAAGCTGTTGTTATTGAAATGCAAGAGCCTGTCACCCTAACATTTGCCTGTCGTTACCTAAATGCCTTCACCAAGGCCAGTCCCTTGTCGGGACAAGTACAGTTGTCCATGTCGGCCGATGTACCATTGGTGGTTGAATATCGCATACAAGATTTGGGCCATATACGTTACTATTTGGCGCCTAAAATCGAAGATGACGAGAGTTAAGCATTTAAGAAGAGTGATATGTACCACAGATTTTCTTCTCACAAGCATATTTGCACCTTTTTTACAAATTAAGTGGCTTGGTGATGTCGTCACAGTCAGTTTCCATCTAAATTGTTATGTTATAAAAAAAAGAAAGAAGTACGGTTTTCAAAAACGATGAAGTCCATATTATATTTTCTATATATGTATGTTAAATATAAGTAATATTTTTTCAGTTCCACTGCACTTTTTTTACACAATATTTGGATTTTTTCTGCTTGTTTTTTCTAAATCCTATGACATGGAATTTGGAAAAAAAAAGTGGAAGAATTCAACCATTTCATATTTTATAAGCAACAAAAATAAAATCTTTACAAAATAAAAAGCTATGTGTGTTGATATCAGGAAGGCATGATATCGATGGGAAATGGTCCATATTTCGGTAAAATATGTTAGTGCTTTTTTGAGAATTAAAAGACAAGGAGCCTGAACAATATGGGTAAATGAGTCGTATACACAAAGGAAGGTAACGAAAGTATCAACTTTCTACGTTGTCATCCTTGTATTCCCTTCAGATATCCTTCTGCCCATTTTATGTAGTTTTCGGCGGGTTTCCTCAATTTTGTAATCTCTTGGGCAAAAGAATGCAAATAATTTGGTTTATTGATGCGCAACTATACGGTAGTCGGCAGCTGCTTCACTCGGAGGCCATTGGTTCATTGTGTTTATCGTAGGAAGAATATACTTGTTGGTGATAGGCTAGATATAGAAGCAAGAAAGAGAAGAAAGGAGTTTTAAAGAGGAATATAGTAAGCATTGTGTTCTACATAGCCAGATCAATGTCTGAAATTAATGTTACAGTTTTTATCTCTCACCTGCCAAATAGCCCATGTCTCTTGTTGGATAACGTGGAACATCTGAGTAGTAGGTTTTAAATCGTTTTTGCCTGTTCATCTTTACATAGTCAGGCAGTCAGGAACACTGTTATCCAATTTTGGGGCCTTATATCATATACATACTATGGGAACATTGTGTTTATCATTAAAACATATAATCAAATTCAGATAAAGCCTCAAAACAACCACTAGAGTCAGTCAGAGAAATGTAATGTTTATGAGGTAATAAAGGCAGAAATCAAAATGGGCCTCGATACCATAACCAGGCGAGTTCTTTAACGAGATTACCTGTTTATGGCACCAACATCTCTCTCCTACAAACAGAGACTTGAGGCAAGTTAGCGTGCCATTATCATTTTCTTTCAGGTGGCGACAACCGGGTAACCAACAGCGACAGAATATAGATTCCTCCCAACTTAAAAATCCTTAATACCAATAATATAATATAGATGAGACCAAAGTATTCAATGTCCCCCACTCCATTAGCCACAGGTTTCACTGTTTTTGATCTACGTGAGGAGGGAAAGGTCTTACCGGATCGGCAACATAATAGGCAACCTACGGCTAGGCAAGTAAGGCGAGACCTTCATGATCTGGAGATAGAGAGAGGTACAGAGATATAAGAGATAACCTCTAGAGCAAGCAGGACCAAATAGTATTCACACTGATGCAGCCAAAGCAGTCAACAGCCAACAAAATGCAGAGGGCACCATACTTAAAGAACATCCGCCTCCCATTGCAGCAGAAGAATGAGAGCTTCCGCGGCTGCCGTGTCTCATAGAAATAACGGTGTTAGACCCTAGGTCTCTTTGGGCCAAACCCGTTTCAGGACATTTGGAGTCGATCTAGCGATGTCCGTCCGTCTGTTTGTCTGGCTGGTGCGCACAATAACTCTCAACTCTCAAATAACTCTTATTTTTATTTGATCCAAACTTGGTACATCGTAATATTTTTGTCAAAATTAGATCAAGTTCGTAGATGGGCAAAATCAGTCCACTCCTTCTGGTACCTTCCCCACAAATTGTCTACATTTTCAAAGAAAATAATTTACTGCACAGAAAGAGAAAGAATGATTCGATTTTGCTCCAACTTTACAAATCCCAATATTTGCATTAGTGCTAGGTCAGGTGCAAAAATGGGGTCAAAATTTTGAATAAATATAACTCTTATAAAATGTGATATAAGTGTCCGATTTTCTTCGAATTGCACACATCACAATATTTTTTAACCCAAGGTCTGGTGTGAAAATGGAATGTATCGGTCCACTCTTTCTGGTACCTCCCTCACAAAGGGTCAGAATTTTGAGTATCCATGAAACTAATAATACGGGAAATGATCATCCGATTCCATCCCGACTTGGTACAACGCAATATTTCCATCAACACAAGATATGTTATAAAGATGGTAGAGATCGGACCATTTCTTCTGGTATCTCCCCCACATAGGGGTTATGATTTTGAAAAAGAAAATGCTCAAAGAAAGCGAAATAAGCATCCAACTCCCTTCTAATTTCACATATCCAAATATTTTTGCTAAGGCAGGATCTGTTGTGAAGATGATATACATCTGCGAAACCCTTTTATCTGTCATAACTTGCGAAACAAGACGGTGATTCTTTAAAACTTGCCATATATAAAAATTTCTTCAAATTTTGCACATCCCAATATTTTTATCTGTATTAGATGAAGTATGAAAATGGAATTCATACTTCGGTCCGCTATATCTGTGACCTCACCCATATTTCCACAATTTTCCAAAACTTTGGACATATCTCATATAAAGCATAGTAGTATAGTCCAAATCTGGCACGTTGTAATATTTATATCAGTCTTAGTTCAGGTACGAATTGGTCAATATTGGCCAACTGCTTCGGAACCTCCCCTATAAAGGATCTACGTTTTGAAAAATCATAACGCAAGGCTATAAATATAAATCTGTCGGCAAAACCGACGTATACTATTTTACTTGTTATATTTGAAGTCAGAAGCACACACAGCTTAGAGAAAATATCAGAGCGAAAACAGCGGTACGAGCTGCTACAACAACCAAAGCATGATTCGATTCCTGGTGAACTTTGCATATTCTATTTTTCTAGAGATTGCCTCGAGGATTTTTTTAATTTCTGTCCTAGAAGTGTACACATCTCTAAACAAAATTTACACTTATCTAAGAATAAAGTAAACTCAGCCCCGACCTTAATGCTTGATGGGGCATACTATGCCTTTTTAGTTTTGCCACATGTTTATTGAGGCGAGTTATACACAAGAGCTATTCCAAAGACTCCTGAGATCAGGTATCAAAGATATTATTTGTGTTTTACTAAAATGACATCAACTATGTAGGAATTAGGAGTTATCATGCCTGTAACGAACAAAGTTCTACTCGACGACTTATTAAAAAAGTCCTTCGATAACAACAGTAAGTTTTTTTTAATATTATATTACATTTCTCGCCTGCCTCATTCATTCTTGAAGTTATTCGACTGTTTTCAAGAATGTTTATCCTCTACCCTTAAATGCATTTCCAAAGAAAAACTAGATACCCAATATGCAATAATCAACCAACATTTGTGAAAGTATGTATCTGCTCTAATTACTTCCATTTTTTGGCCAGACTATCTAATTATATTTGCTTATAGTAGGTATCAAGGTCTTCATAAGTATCATTATTGGGATTCTATTTTTTCTGTATCAAACTGTAATTCTAAGCTTTTTCTTAACAGAGAAAAATGAAATCTTTAAAAATAAATTCATTTTAAATTACATTACCTATATTTTTAAGCTAAAGCTTAAACGATTTTCCAAATGGATCCAACACCATTTCCTCTTATTTTTTTTAAATCCTTAGTTAGTTCCTTGAATCCCTCAAAACCCCTTTAAATTCCAATAATGTACGTTTTTTTAACAAAAAGGAAAGTGGTTTTTATTTTGCAAATCGGTGTTGTGTATAAAAGAATTTGGCATTGCTTACAGACTACAACTTAACTCTTACGAACTAGGATGTCAAATTTTGGAAAATATTTTTGATGAAGTGGAGTTTTCTTTAAAAAATGATATCTTAACAATTGCAATTTTACTCTATAATATAATTTGGATGTACCACCAAGAGGGGATCATCTTCATCCTCATCTTCGTCTGGGCGTTTGGGACTTTTACCGGCCTGTTTTAATTCGGTAGTCTTAAGTGGTATTATAACCTGATCGTGATAGATGAGACGATCGATAACCTTTTCTATAAGATTTTTACGGGAAATCAATTCATCTTCAGACTCAATTTGATCGGCAACTTGTTCCAAATACCATGTAACCACATCGCTGCGTTTCATGCCGGAATCAGTACCCTCCACTTCACAGCGGGCTTCTTCGTTGCGCATATGTAAAACCAACATGGTAGACAAATTCTTGTAGTCTTCAAAGGAAAGTGTAAGTTTTTTCTTTTGGACGGCGGCAGTGCCATTTCCATCTGCCTCGGGATCGGCAGTGTCGGGCTCCTCATTGACATGGTTACCATTGCCACCATTTTGCTCCATATCAACATCTCCGGTAAAGGCCTCATCAACGTCATCATCATCCAAGTGGATGTCTGGTTGCTCCACACGAATAATCGACTTATTAAGCAAACGGAACGCTTCCTTTACATGACGTTCTTGTACTTCATTCATACACTCCAATTTGGCCATGGCCTCACTTAGACGTATCATCGATTCCAGCTGACGTACTGTTATACGCCAAGTACTGCGACCAGCTGTACCAGTATCACGTTGTCTCAAATGGCCATAGTTCTCCACCAGTAAGGCACCAGCCTCTTTGCTAATGATTGGTTTGAATTGACGGGCAAAAGTAATGTAACGCAACACCTCTTCCCTGGTATAAGCTCTTTCTACATTGTCCTCAATATTCGAGTGAAGGTCGACAATTTTTCGAGCAATGGCGTAATCCACCACCTCGTTGCACTCATCAACCAAAATAAAGAACAAATCGAATCTGGACATAATTGGAGCAGATAGCTGAATGTTTTGCTGTAGACTTTTGGAACGATCATAACGGCCATTGATAGGATTGGCAGCAGCCAATATTGAAGTACGGGCATTAAGGGTAGCCCGTACACCAGCCTTGGCCAATGAAATGGTTTGCTGTTCCATGGCTTCGTGAATGGCTACCTGATCACGGGGATCCATCTTGTCGAATTCATCAATGCAGCAAATACCATTGTCAGCCAACATAAGGGCACCGGCTTCTATGACAAAATCGAAACTTTCCTCATCTCTTACCACAGCGGCTGTGAGACCAGCAGCTGATGAAGCTTTACCCGAAGTGTAGACAGCACGGGGAGAGAAATCGGCCACCTGTTTCAGGAATTGTGATTTGGCTGTACTGGGATCACCCACAATGCAGACATTGATGTCACCACGCAATGTTGTTTCTAAAACGGAGAAGATGCATTACAGACCAATCATTTTTATGAAAATAGTTCTTTACTTACTTTCATGTGTGGTCTTGCCCACACCTCCAAAAAGCTGCAGTAAAATACCACGTTTTACTTCATCATTGCCGTAGATTGAGGGGAACAAACTCGATATGAGGTTGTTGTACAAATTGCGATCCTTGGACATTTCATAGACTTTATTCCACTCGGCATCGGTCATTTGTTTCTTCATATCTTCTGCCGTTACCTCAGACATGGGCAGATCGGTACCACCAAAACGCACATTTGTTGCCTGTACACTGCAAGCCAAGAAGGCCATGCGATAGTTAAGTTCACGCATACCCAGAGCCTTTAATCCGGTAAGACCATCGGGTCTTTCTCCCGCCTTGTGACGCGATCCTTGATCCGCCTTGGCGCCAGGCATATTTAACACTCCAACATCAGGCACCACAATTAATGTACCCGTAAAATCATAACGATCACCAGCCTGCACGGTTTCCACTAACTCGGAACGTAATATAATTTCCACTGAACGTGGTATACAACCACGCGGTAATTCAGATTGAGTTTCTTGTATACGAATCTTTTGAAAATCAACAAACAGAGATTTTTCCACATCCAACATGAAGCGACGACGATTCGAACAAACTGGATTGCGACAAATTGTCGGATTGGTGAACTTGAATTGTTGTTCCACATTGCGAATTTCAGTTTGACAATCCAAACACATAAAGGTGCCGAAAACCAGTTCGGGATGTACAGGATGTGTACGCACTACTTGGCCAGAAATACGAATTAATGTTCCGATTTTGGAGGTGGTCATGTCACGCACCTTATGGCGTGTAGGAACTTCGGTGAAGGAGACATAACATTCCTTTTCAGTTTTTAACCCAATGCGATCCTTTACAAAATTCGATACAGATTTACACAGATAGGGATAGATTCTGCAAGGGAAACAAAAATATTTAAATACCTTTTTAAATAAAGCCCTATACTCTATTATCTTACCTATAGTACTCCTCAATAATAGTCGTGGCCAAGTTTTGATTGTATTTTTCAACATCATCAAAACTTACTTCCAGAGTACAGCGATCGGGCGACTCCAAATCTCCAGCAGGCTTGACATACTTAATTTCTCCATCTTCTTTGAATCTGGAACATAAATTGTTCGTGATAAAATCTTATGTATTAACTATGACTTTTGAACTCACTCTTCCAGGAAATCTTGGAATAGTTTCTGACATCTTATTCCCACTTCATCTTTAACGCGCAACTGACCAACATTAGCATCGGCAATATCCATGTTTTCGCAGAAAAGGAACACCAAACAAAATCAACAAAATTTGCTCAACAATTTAACAATAACAACTCGACTTAATCTGTATCCTTCAAGGATCTTTTTACAAGTAACTGATTAAGAATGAATATCGCGAAAACTAGCTGTGCATCAAAACACACGCCAAATTCGAAATAGTTTGACATCTGGCCCTGTTGACTGACGGCATTTTGAGCGCCAAAGTTTGTTTACACGCATAGTAATGCCATTCATCGCTAGAGCACATTGGGTTATTCTTAGAATATGACGGACTTAAAATGACAACAGAATTTGGAATTTGGTGTGCCTGTGTCACCCTGCAAGCAAGCTTTTATCCAAGGAAATGTTAAGGTATACCCCGTACTATTTGTAATATTTGACAGATATTGTGAAGATTTAAAACAGAATGATGTTCGAGGAAAACCCAACAACCATCAGCACTGAGAAAGTGTCTTAGAAATAGAGGATATGAAATCATCAACATTGACTTTAAAGCGCATAAAATTTTAAAAAAAATATGGAATATGGAATGATCAAATCTTATTTGTTCCATGAAATGCTTAAGAAAACATTTCATTTATTTCAGATGTCCGTATTGAGAGTTAATCGTTAGTATTTCTTAATTTTTCGATGCGGTGTCAAATATTTATCAGTTCCAGAACCTTCAAAATTCTACTAGTTTTGCAATATTTTTTTAACCATTTCGGGAAAATACCGAATTTTTTCTTTGTGACGCAGGCGTACTGACAATTGCAAAAACCAAAGAATGCAGGTAGATGCATCAATGCTTGGGAGCATTGATATGTCAAAAAATTGAAATGTTTTTTAAAATATAAGTAGATTTGTATATGTTTTCTTATACTACGTCAGAAGGAGGCTATTATAACTCACGTTTTTTTTCAAAAATTTTTGCAAATTTATATATTTTTTCATTCAACATTTTCAATTCCAAAATTGGTTTCACAGTTCATTGTCCCAGCAGCTGTGTCGACGCGTCTACCTATATTCTTCTACCATGGTATCGACTAAAAGCTTATATTTTTGGCATGGTAGAAGAATACAGGTAGAAGCATCAACGCTTGAGAACATTGACAAAGTTTTAAAAATCTTCTGTCAAAAATAAGTAGATTTTTATATATTTTCTGATACGACGCCTATCAGAGGTTGTTAAGGTATGAATTTTTAAACAATTTTTACAAATTTAAATAATTTTTCATTCAAAAATTTCGATTCCAAAATTGGTTTGACAGTTTATTGTCCCAGCAGTTGTGTCGATGCGACTACCTATATTCTTCTACCATGATTTTTGGTTATTTTCCCTTTCCTCATTCATTCGTTTATCTTGTTCTTTAGTTTTCCAATAATATTTTTTTTTTTAATTTATATTTGTTAGTAATTTCGAAATATTCACTGGAAAATTCAGACTTTGAGTAAAATATTCGAATTAGTATGTTTTTCGTAGTAAACAACTCCGATTTAAGACAATTTGTTTCAATTTGCTTTTCAATAAAGACAATTCTCTCGTCTGAACACAGCATTATATCACTTGAATTAGGGATCTAAAAACCAAAAGCCGTTTAACATAACGACTGACACAAACTCGATTTTCACATCCCTAACTTTTATGTTTATTTTTTGCAATAAAATAGGTCTCGCTCGCGAAATTGCAACAATTAACTTTGTTATAAACCTACATTTCCAATAAGAAAGCAAATCATCGACTATCTAGTGGACGAAAATGAAATCCACTTAAAATGTCCGGTGATTATTATGGATCACTGGCGGGATCTTCGCTGCCGCCCAGCTCATCAACATCAGCAGGCAATAACAATCAATGCACTTCAACTCGTTGGCTAACTGAGGAAGTTTTTGCATTAATAGATTTAGTGCAACGAAATGAAGCTATTTATAACCCACGTCATAAGTACTATTTCTGTCGTCCCTATGTCGAAAACTTTTGGCGTGAAGTAGATCTAAAACTTGAGAAGAATCGTAAGTAGCGCTAGGGTATATTCGTTCTAAAGAGTTATAAAATATTTATGGTCTTCTTATCCAACAGCTGGTGCCAGTTTAGCCAAGTGGACAAATCTGCGCATATCTTTTCGGCGTGAATATACAAACTATTTGGAAGAGAAAGTGCCACCATGCTGGACATATTTTGATCGTATGTTCTTCCTGCATCCCTATTTAAGGAAGTGAGTGTTGGCTTTTATTGCAGAACGATTAAACTAAAAATATTTGTGTTTTTATATCTCGTTTTATAGGAAACATCAACAATCAAAATCTTTGGATTCCCAAGTGCAGGATGCTCTGGTACAAATAAGTTCGCTATCCAATCGCTTGCAGAGGGAAAGAGCTGTGGCTGCTGCTGCAGCCGCCAGTTCTTTGGGTCCAACGAATAACACTGCAGCTTCATCACCCTCCCAACCACAACTGGACAACTATTTGGAATATTTCGATGATCCCGAAAATAATCCCTCCGAATTGGATGATATGATTGATGAAGAACATCCCAACTCCTCGCAATTTGCCCACTCAACTTTGGCAAATGATATAAAGTCTGAATGTGAAGACAATAACGATGAGTACGATAATGTAGAACGTCCAGGAGACGAAGATGATTTGCACGAGGCTGATGGGGAAGCGGATATGAGAAACTTTGATTATCAGACAGAGAAACGCCAGACTCCACAACATCATCAACGCCTACAAAACTTGCAAAGACTTCAATCACGTCCCTATTATGAGGAGTTCCGCAATAAAAGAGCTAGATCTCAGGATAGCATATCGAGTTCGCAAGCCTTCGGCACACCACCATCCATAAATAACGTCTCATTTGTTAGACCCACATTTACCAAACCTTTGGATGTAGTCAGCACTACAACAACAACACAAAGTCACAATTCTTCTTCTGGTCGCAGCAATAATAATTCAAATAGTTCGGGCTCCAATAACTCTACATCTCTATCGAATACAGATGTTGAACCTGTGAGCAATTCAAGTGCAATAACAACAACACGTTCTTCAGCACAACAACATCATCATGTTCCCTATTCTACGCCAACAATGCCCCATGCACATCACAATCATCACCATTCTGCACGTTACGAGATCTCCAATTTAAATTCCCAACCTAGTCTAGCTACGAATGGTAGCAGTGCCGCAACGAGTGGTGGACATCAGTTTTCAAATGGTCTTAATAATCCCCTGGCTATTGCTGCCCCTACAGCCAGCACACCGGAATTGTGCGATTGCAAAACTGATCCCGATGCCATGTTCTTAATGAGTCTTTTGCCCGATATACAAAAATTAAACGGTCGTGATCGTGGCAAAATAAAAATTGCTTTTCAAAATATATTACAAGACTATTTGTATCCCGACTAAGGTGGAAACAAAGTTTATGAAACTTGACGCAAATTGATTCCTTACAAACAACAACAAAACGGAATAGTGATACATTATAAATGTATACTTTGTGCTAATATAGCAACTAGGTTTAAAACATTCGTCTAATATTATTGTCAACTATATATATATATGAACGTTTATGTATGCTTTAAATGTGCTTAAGAACATTTAAGAATAAAAAAAAATATTAATTAAATATACAATGCGTTTGTTTATATTATATAATAAATAAAAGGTACAATAGATTTGGAAAGAAAAAAGGAAAATTGTAGACTTTCAACGAACAAAAAAAAAAAAACAAAACAAAAGGTTGTTTTAAAAATTAATGAAATGTCTCTAGGTTTCTTTCGAAAATCAAGTTACAAAGGTGTCCAAATTCACACTGAGAGATAAAAATTGCAGCAAAATCTTACATTCTTGAAGTTCTATAACTGATCAATAATTGCGAAATGAAAATCAGGAGTACGTATATTCTCTGTTCCAGAACGGCAAGAGTGTAAAAAAAGTTACTGCGAAAAATAATTGTTCCTCTATAATAGTCATTTTTTGCAGGTTCCGGAATGAAAAAAATATTTAAAAGTACGTTACTACCATGGCAGAAGAATACAGGTAGATGCATCAACGCTGGGGACATTGATATGTCAAAAAAAAATTTTTTTTTCAAATATAAGTAGATTTTAATATGTTTTCTTATACGACGTCATTCGGAGGTTATTATATTCGTGTAATTCAACAATTTTTACAAATTTAAATAATTTTTCATTCAACATTTTTAATTCCGAAATTGGTTTGACAGTCCAGTCCAGTCCCAGCAGCTGTGTCGATGCGTCCACCTATATTCTTCTACCATGGTTACTACCAAGGTTACCATCAAACAGGTTGTAAGCAGAACGAAAAACTACCACTTACTACGTTTACCTGGCGTTTACGTAAAACAAATTGTCGTGAATCAGAGATGTATTTTACTGCCACATAAATGCATATTCGATTATTTCTGTCACAAACATTTCTGGCATTTTATAAAAATAAAAACAAAAATTTTATATAGAATTTACAGAATTTATTCATTTATCTTAACATAGAGTTTAGAAAATAGAACACAATTCAGTTCATGCATTAGTTTTCAAAAACAACCAAAAATTATGAATACAATCTGCCCAGTGTATATGTGGCATAGTAGAAGAATACACGTAGACTCATCGACACAGCTGCTGGGACAATGAACTGTCAAAGAAATTTTGCAATTGAAATTTTTGAATGAAAAATTAAAGTTTTTGACATATCAATGTTCCTAAGCGTTGATACATCTACCCATGGTACAATAAAGAGGTAGAACAGCTACGTAAAACTAAAGAAATACAGCCCTGAGGCTATGTCCGCTTCCTTTCAGAATTATTCAAAATTACATTCAACAAGTTGTTTGATTTTTTTGTTCATTTTTAAATGAGTCAAAAAATGCCTGGATGTTCTCTCAAAAATGTGATCCTAAATGTTCAATCTTTCAATTCCATTGCAAATCTGGTATCTATCATTAATGCGCGCGCACGCAATTTAAGTTTCTTCCAATCATTGATTTTGAAAATATTTTATTTTTATTTTTCAAAACAATAAATACATACACAAAATTGGCAGAAGTCTCGCATACCTAGAAAAACATGTAATCAGCTGGTAGCTCTACCTTACCTTTTTATTGTACCATGCATCTACCTATATTCTTCTACCATCATATGACCGATCCACTATCTTCCAACATTTAACATTCGAAACTAGAGCTACCAGCTGATGACATTTTTTTCTTAGTGCTCCCGACTTCCGCTAATTTTTGCTAATTTTTGTCGTCGGCTGGCTTCTTTGGAAAAGAACAAAAACTCGTACGGTAACAAGTATAAATAATGGACTAAAATCGATCTAAGTCAACCTTAAACCCCTTTGTTCCTTTACGAAGAAGCCAGCCGATGACTTAAGCTAGTCAAAAAAGTGTTTAATGTATTCTCACCTTAAAACTTCTTGCAGTTTCTGGAACAGAGCAATTGTTCTGAAAAAAATTAAAACAAAATATTTTCAAAAACAATGAACACATGGTTAATTTAAGAAGGTAAAGTCATTTTATAATAATAATATCCATCTCTGAATTTTCTGTAATTTACCTTGAGTGTATATAATAGATTAAAAAATAATTTGAAAAAAATGATTCTTCTTGATTCTACCATGATTGAACAGTTTAGATCATGTATTTAAAAGAAAATCCTGGCTTTCATTAATATTTCGCGCCATTTAACTCATTTTAAAAATTAGGAAAATTTTCAAATAAATGAAAACAACTTGCTGCATATAATTTTGAATAATTCTGACAGGAAGCGGTTGTAGCCTCAGTTCTGTATTTCTATGTACCATGGTAATACCCTAAAATACAGATTATAAGATGATAATAAAAAAGGCATCTTTTAATTTTCACACAATCTGTTTTGAAAATTATCATAAAAAAGTTAATAAATCAAAGATGGCGGATTGTTGATTAAGATCATCTCAAAATATAAGTATATGTAGAGTTAATTTATTAGGATTTCACAAGTCCAATTGAATGAAAATCTCATATGTGGAGGTGATGATACATAAGCGGCTTGGCATCATGAAATGTCAAATCATGATTGATTTCGTGATATAAATTCAATTATAAAAAATATTCAATATAAAAAAATATTGTTTGTCCCAGTATCTGCAAGAATCTAGTAGTTTTGCATTTTTTTTTTTTCGATATCATAAAGGAAAAATCGCTTGTCATATTAAAATTTTTTTTTCTTACAGTTCTGGAACCAACCATATTTGAATACATTTTACCGCTATTACCATAAAATATAAATTCAATAAATTTTACCTTATAGGGAAGATGGCCAGACCTTTTGGTTATCGGACAGTTTATATTAAAATAAAATTTGTGAGAACGAAACACAATTTATTTGTCCGAAAACATCTTATTTTTATTTGCCGGATAGATGTAATAATCGGCCTTAAACATTAAAATCACTCATTGGATGTCGCCATAAAAAACTTGACGCCGTCATATCGATTTATAGATGCCTAGTTTCAAATTTGTCGTGCTGCCCTGCCACTTTATGCATATGCTAAAAGGAGGTTTTTAATCGGCGTCTAAAATTCGAAACTGCAGAAAATATATTAAAAAAAAAACCAAAAAAGAATTTATATTAAATTATTTCTTTAAACTTCCTTTGCTCCTCATTGAAATACATAAAAATAATGCCAGCTGTAATACGTGTAAAGCGTCGCATCGATGAGGAGCCTTTGTCGGCCTTTGTCTTGAATAGCAAAAGAAGACGCTTAGAAAACGAGGCTGATGGTGGAGGTGCGACAGCATTGACCAACAAAGAAGAGCTATCCACGCTACTGAAATTTGCTGGAACCATTAATGAACAGGTAATCGAAAAATAATGTAAAAGTATTTCACATTGGTATTTACAAGAGCATTTCTACAGGATGATACGGCAACGACACAATTTGCACGACTCTCCAAGGATGAGGCCAAAGAATTGGTACTACGCAAAACACGCAAACCTAGCAACATCACGGAGAAGGCACGCCAGGAAATGCGTAAAAACCTTCAAGAGCAGCGTTTTCGCGTTGTCAACTGTCTACGGACCACTGTGGATGACAACGAAAACAATGCCGACGAGAAGTCCAAAGAAATAACCATTGTTGATATAGAAAAACAACAAACAATTGATAATAAGACTGTTGAAACACAAAAATCCCTATTGCCTTTGGCAACATTTTCGCCAGCTGCTGGGGTGAAAGCGAATGTGGCGGCCGAGGCCTCAACATCAGCTGCAGCCGCTGGGGCCGCCACAACTAGTTGTGTTGCACCATCACTGGCCATGCCCTCAGATTCGGATACAGGTTATGTATACGATTTGTATATACCGGATAGTGAACAACACGCCGACTATGTAGATTTACTGGATGAGAATTATCTCAGGTTGGTTTTACATATCGATATGTTTATGGTTACAAATCGTTATATTTAAAGAATAGAATATCATTACACAAGTACGCCTCCACCTACCCTCCCTCCCTCCCTTCCTCCCCTCTACGTTTTCTACTTTCGTTTCCTTGTGGAAATAATTCTCTATAAATATTTTAATTACCCACATTTTTACTATCTCTTCCCTCCCTCCCTCCTAGTATATTGTCATCGTTTAGTATGTAGTTATTATTTTTGTTTATAAATTCCTACATATTTACATACATGTATTTAGTTTTGTTAGGTTTCTTAATAACAAAAAAAATATTTGAAAAAGGTTTCACAATATATTCCCAAAGAAAGAATGTGATTTAAAAATCACATATAATAATAGTAAAAAAAGATACGTACATCGATGTTGGTTCCAAGCGGAATTTATTTTTTTTTGTTACCATGAAGAGTATTGATTTGTAGTTTAAAAATTTAGTTTTTGTAATTTTCTTTTTGAATATTTTTGGAAGACAGACAATTGTTTTAACCCACAATTAAAGTATATTCGGATATACACATTATTTACCCATTTTTAAACCTTGAGCGGTTTTCAGAGTTGTTTAATTTACAGTTTTTCGTACAAAAAATGAGAATCAGCGAGAGGTAAAGAAAATTATGTTACCGAAGGTCAAGATTCAAAACTTTTTAAATATTAAAATTGTAGTTTTCCCAAGTTGTGTTAGGCTCCAAGAATAAATATAATACCTATTCTTTTTTTGGGAACAATATTTTTTAGATTGTTTTTTTTTTTTCTCTCACTCTATTTGAATTACAACACATTTAAACCGAAATACTTTTTGTGTTTTCTTTCTTATTTTTATAACAACCCCAAAAAAAAATCCGAACTCATTTGTGTGTGTTTTCTTCGCAACGTTACAAGGCTACAATATCCATTTAATTATTACAACGAGATTTATGAATACAGCAACAACAACGACAACGGCAATTATTTTTATTGGTAGAATGGTTCTGCAATACTTCCGTTTTATTGTATGAATTCGATTTGACTTTAAAACCACATCTACGGCACAGATCATCAACATATATGCACCCAATTCAAACATCATCACCGATGCAACAGAAGTTCCAAGAAAACATTGCACAAGGATTAAAAGAAAGTATTTTGAAAATTGTTTCTTGAGTGTTTTTTTTTTTTTAATTGGTTACCTATATTCTAATTTGTCCATTGTCATTATAGATCAAAAGCTTTTGGTTTCTTATATATGTCTTCATGGATTTCTTGTTATCATAGAATTTGTTTTTCTCCTTTTTGGTCATCATTTGCACGAAAACTTGCATTCGTTTCATGTAATATTGATTTTCAAAAATTTGGTCTCATATCTTAGCCACTTTTTAATTCCATAATTTGTATGGTTTGTTTTTTTTTTTTTTTTTGTTGTTTTGTTTGTCGTTGTTGTTGCTTTTTTCATTCACCCACACACACACATTTCCACACAATCTTTTAAAAACATTCTTTAGAAACAAAGAAATATCCTCTCTATCTTGCTCCTTTTTCCTAGCAAAGCTCTACCTTCTCTAGACTCTACTTCACATAGACAAGAGCACACAAAAATATACAATAATAATACAAATAATATATTTAGTTATAATCAACAAAACCAGATATAATTATTTTTTCTACCATACGTTATTTTGTACAATTGAAACAAGTTGCTTTTGTAATTATCAATTAAAGTATAAATATTATTAGTTGATTTATATTTTATATGACTACTATATTTTTTACGTATATTATAAATACTTGTAAGAATAAGAAAACCGGTAAACTATTATTATTATTATAATAACAACAACTTGGTTTAAAAACCAAAAAAGAAACTGTCAAGAAATTCCTTAAAATAAAATATAAATACTGTAAAACTCTCCCTTTCTCTCTCTCTCTCTCTCTTTAAGCCAATTTAAGAAAAATAAATATTAATTTTGAAAATAAAATAAGCCTAAACCATTAGCGCAAAAACAAAAGCAAAACCTAGTTGTTTTATTTTTTCGAATGGAAATTTGAAGTTTTTTTGTTTTTTAAACCAAGTTATTTTTAGTTTTCGTAATTTAAAAAAAAAATATTTAATGCCCTCGTTCTTTGCCCGGAGTAAGTGGGATCAGTCTGTTAAGAAGCTTTGCCACTTGACTATTTTGTTGTTGTAGCAGCTCATACTGCTGTGTTCGGGTTCTGTACGGTTTGGGTCCACAATGATACTGGAGTTAGGTGAGTAGGTTGGGCTGGACAGCAAAATAGGTGCAGCGTGTCACTTGGACCACAAGTTGGGCAAATGTTCTGCACATCGCTGTCAGTCCGAGCCCAATAGGGAACGGACCATCCAAAACAACTCTGGTTTCGCTCTCGCTTTTCAGCTGCGATGGAGGGAGGGGGAGGTGGATGGTCTCCTAGAACAGTATTCTCTCTACATCCTTCCATGCTCGGACGAGGGGTGTCATGAGGAGGCAAACTGTTGCGGTTCTGGCAGGACTGAATAATTTTCCACTGCGTGGATCACACCGACGCCGCATAGTTTACCACAGACCGGCCTATCGCATTGTAAGAGGTCAATAAGGTTCCTACTTCTACTCTTATCGCAGATAGCTATGGTGTGCGCGGTCGATTTGAAAATTCTATCGAATGTGACCACATAGACCTTGGGGAAGTGGTCGAAATGACAACACCTTCGACCTGTACACTCAAAGAAAGTCTCATCTCCACAGTCCATGTGGTGAAAAGTGTGGCCGTCTATTTAGTGGCGGATATCTTCATATTCCTCACAGTGAACAAGTCTGTTAAATCAACTATGTAAGCGTTTAGCCGATCGCAAATGTCATCAAAGATCGGCATCTCACCGAGGCCGAACTATGATGGATGCGATTACGACAAACGAAGCAGAACCATGGTCAGGGGTAAGTCTCGATCCCAGTTCGCACCAAAAGAATACGGATCAAACATTTTGGTTAATGTTGCTCCCACATCAGAAAATGGACGAAAAACGAACATGTGTATGCTGGGTTGACGGCCCCTGGTCGAAGGCAGTTCCTTCGGGTCAATCCGGTACATAGAATCTTCTTCTTTGTGGGATTGACTTGACTAATTTCTTGGGAGCTGGGTTGTGAAAGTCTGTCCTTTGTTTCTGTGTATGGTTGTGAAACAACGGGCAGTTCCAAGAAATTAGTATGAGAGCATTTGTAGAGGGAAATTACCGTGGAGCGCGAAGAATTGAAAATGTTGGCGAGGCATGTTTACCCTAATGGGAAAGCTCACTGACCAGAATTCAGTAAATTCACCAAACTTCGCTTCAAAGAATTGATGTTCTGTTAGTGAAATGACAGTGGCTGTCAACCGGATGGTACAAGAGCATAAGCGGAAAAAGTGGCTAGACCATCTGAAGTGTTGCAACATAGGAACCGATATAAGTAAGCTGTGGGAAAACCTGATATGTCACTTTAACCAAAATATAACGGTGACTGATCCGAAGAGGTGCGAAGTATATTTTAAACGACAGTTTGTCGAGCCCCCCTAGCATGATAGGACGAAGCGAAGAGTACTACGTCGTATCAGATTTCTACCCGTCGAGGAGGCACCATCACAGTTTACAATGTGTGATGTTGCAGATGTCATCCGAAACGATAAGTCATTCCAAGCATTGGGCCCGAACGAAATATCAATAGTAATATTGAAACAACTGGGTACCTGATAAACAAGTTGAGTACCTGATAAAAGTTCTTAGCCTGTCGCTAGCCAACCATGCTGTTCCTAGAACATCGGAAAATGGGTAGGGTGGTCCCCCTATTGAAGCCAAGCAGGGAAGCCAGCCAAGACGAATCATACACGCCAATTTTGCTTTTGTCGGTAGTAGCTAAGACTCTTGTGGCTTTACTCCTTCCCAGCATCAGAAGAAGCTATCCAGTTGTCAACTATCAATACGGACTCCGTCCATAACAGCATTGCACGCCATATCCACACATATCAGTGTTGGTAGCCCTTGACCTATCAAAGTCATTCGATGTATTCAACCACGACACACTGTTTAATGATGTTTGGAACGTTTGATACTCAATTATATGTGTGAACGCCAGTCGTACGGGGAATTCCGCAACAAGAAGTCCAAACCCCGTAGAATGAAGCTTAGAGTCCCACAAGGTGAGGTGATATCTCCGGGACTGTTTAGCCTCTACCGTTCGGGAATTCCTAGCCCTCCCGACGGCAAAGATATCATAAAGTATCCGCATGATTGTACGAACATGGCGTCAGGCCCCGTGTTGATGACACATGTGTTAGATGAAACACCTACCTCGGGGGGCTTGCTGCCTATACGCCACTAAATCAACGGCATTGTCTGCGGTGATGAGAACAGCGGAATGATGCAGGTCCAGAAAATATAATACCGACCACGAACTACCCCAAGATCCTAAGCTATCTGCGTAGGAAAAATACCCTCACGCTGCTAGCCGGCAGTACTTAGGCTGTGGCATTCATACTGATACAGTCAAGGAATGAAAATGGAAAATATCGGTCCATTTCATCAAGTACCTCCCCCACAAAGTTTCAAAATATTTATTATTACAACTCTTATGAAATGTGATGTAAGAATCCGATTGTCTTCAAATTTCACACATCCCAATAATTTTATTAACCCAATGTCTGGGGTTAAGATGGAATATATCGGTGCACTCCTTCTGGTACCTCACAAACAAAAGGTCGAAAAAAACGCAAAATAAATGTCCGATTCCATTTAGACTTGGCACATCTGAATATTTCTATCAACAGTGGATCTGTTATAAAGGCGGTATATCGCCCACAAAGCGTCAAATTTTTGAATAACCATAACGTTTATAAAATCCGAAATAAGCATCAAGTTCTCTTTATATTTTACACATTCCATTATTTCTACTAACACAAGATCTGTTGTGAAGATGGGATATATCAGTCCTCTCCTTCTGGTACCTTCCCCACAAAGGGTCAACATTTTGAATATCCATGGAGCTTAGAAAACGCAGAATTAACATCGGATTCCCTTCAGACTTGGCATTTGTTAAAAAGATAGTAGAGATCGGACCATTTCTTCTGGTACCTCCTCCACATAGGGTTCAAAATTTTGAGAAACCAAACTCTCAAAGTAAAACATATAAGCATTTAACTCTCTTCAAATTTCACACATACAAACATTTTTGCTAACACAACACCTGTTATATAGCTGCAAACTTCTGGTACCTTCCCCACAAAGGTGGACAATTTTTAATACTTTTATCTGTCATATCTTATGAAACAAGTCACGATTTTTTACAATTTTCTATATCTAAATATTTCTCTCAACCAGACCATATTAAGGTCTGATATGAAATGGACAATATTGGCCCATTCCTTCAGAACTCACTCCATAGAGGGTCAAGAGTTTGAATAATTATAACAGAACCACTGTAAGCATCAAATTTACAAACGTAAATTTTCAGGACGTTTTAACCTATTTAGTCTAGGCCCTCCCATAAAATGCATATTTATTTGACTTTGTCACTCCTTTTAGAAATACTTGTTTCATCCTTTATTCTCTGGGCATGGAGACTTTAAAGCCTTTCTTGCCATACATGTAGTTTTCCCTAGAGTAATCTAGTCAGGGAGATGCATATTCATCCGGTGGACTCTTTTTGGTCCATCCTGGACATATATTTAAATTTTTGTTTTATTTTAATTTAGTTGATTCTCAGTGAAGAGGATTTCAGATTATATTCTCACTGAGGACAATTCTCCTATTAATATTCTCATTGCATTACTATAACAATTTATATTCTAATATTTTAAAATTGTTTGTATTATTTTATTATTACAGTGTTCGGCCATTTGATGATTTCATATACGAAGATCGTTATAATAACGACGATGATGACAATGAGGAATATGATTCGGAAGATTCGAATCAAGAAAACTACTTTGCCAATGAATACCCAGATGAAGATGATGATTTGGCCATGAATAGCGATCGTGATTTTGATGAAGAAGACGACGATGATGATGCCTCGAATTTGGCAAGGGGTTTGGATAAGTTTGTCTTTGGTAAGAATAAAAGATTTTATAAATGTTTACAATTAACGGTAAATTCATATGCATTTTTGTATTTTTCAGGAGACGATGATGAAGAAGAGAAAAACGATCATTTTTACAGTTCATCTAGCGATGATGACAATTATTATAACGCCTACAAAGATCCCTATGTACATTCTATTGATCCCGAAGAGGAGAACTTTTGTCAAGATGTAGATAGCTGTGATGTGGATCGTTATGGTGAGGCATATGCCCGTTATAAGGCACGTATAATGAAAAAAATGAAACCCAAAACTGCCGATGATGATGAAGACGAAGATGACGACGATGATGAAAAATCAGATAAAAGTGATTATGATGATATTTCGTCGTCGGATTCGTGTGATTATGATGCATACTATGATTCAGTTACGGGAGTTTAATTTTTCTTTCGATTTCATATCCCATTTTTGTATGTTCACAAATTTAACAAATTAATTCTCCGCAAAGGATACAAAAGGTTTGAAGTGTTAAAACGAATATTTAATTAATTAAAATGCCTCAATAGGTATGATATATCTTTTTATTTTATTGTTATTAAATTATAAAAGATTTCGTTATTTCCATGAAATTGTGAATTTTCTATGTGTGAAGTTTTGTACTTTATTTATTTGCTAATATATTAATCATAAATAAAATGAAAATGTGCTATAAAGAGAACCCATTATTTATTTAAATGTATGGTTGCCCCTACCCTTCTAAAGCACTGGACATTATTAATTTCGATTAGATTTAATATGATATTCATTTTTTAGAAGACAATGCATTGCTGAATAGTACCGTTCGGTTAAAAATATCATAAACAAATCTCAATGCATTAAAAATTGAAAGAAAATTGGAATGTCTTTTTGAGTTTATAAATAGAAAAATGCGTAAAAATTAATGAAATGTTAAGATTCCTTTTTAGAACCAGGTTCAATGTACAACCATATCACAGACTCCAATCGGAATTTTTTCAAATCTGCAATTTTATTTCTATGATTTTTGTTTTAGCTTCTTAAGAACCGATTTATTTGGTGAATTAAGAAAATCGCTTTATTTAGTGTAAATATGGTAATATTAGAGCAATGAAAAGAATAAAAAAAACAAAAAGATTAGAAAACCTGTAGAAGTGTGAGTTGTTAAAGAAAGTTTTACTTACATATTTGTACAAAAGGACTCTCTTAAGTTCTTTTCCTTTTATCTTTGCTTCAGTTTTGCTCTGAATAGAGAATACATACAACGCTTTTTCGACTGGTTTAAGTCATCGGCTGCCTTTTTCGTAAAAGAACGAAGGGGCGCAGAGTAAAAGTCGAACTAAGTCAACCTTAAACTCCTTAGTTCTTTTATGAAGAATCCAGCCGTTGACTTAAGGTGAGAATACATAAAACGCTTATTTGACTGGCTTAAGTCATCGGCTGACCAAAAATCGAACTAAGTCAACCTAAAACTCCTTCGTTCCTCCACCAGTCAGAAAAGCGTTTTATGTATTCTCACCTTTAAGCCAGTCGAAAAAGCTTTGAATGTATTCTCACCATAAGACATCGAGTGGCATCTTCATAAAATAACAAGTAAAAAAGCAGGCCCGGCCGAACTTTTAATACCCTCCACCCTTTGGAAGGAACTTAAAAAATTTCAAAAACTTCCGGAAACTACCACTTAAATGAAAAATGTTATATGGTGACTATACGAAGACGTGGACCTGCTTACGAAAAATGTTGTCATAGGCTGTAGCACCTATTACGAACTTCAAATACGAAATTTGAAATAATTCCGGTAAATAATGTCGCTAAAATCATGAAAATGCCGAATATCGGGAGGTACCGTTATATAGGGGCTATACGAAGACGTGGACCTGCATACGAAATTTTTTTCCATAGGTTGTAGTAACCATTAAGATCTCCCAACACGAAATTTGAAACGATGCCGGTAAATTATGTCGCTGAAATCATTTCGAGGAGTTACAAACGGAATGACAAAGTTAATATACCCTCCATAGAATGTGGAGGGTATAACAAAAGAGTGTAGGGTGAACAAGTATAGATTATGGGCCAATATTGAGCTAAGTCAACCTAGAATTCCTTTGTTCTTTATCCACTGGATTTATGAACACGATTTACGTGACGCTATCATGGTAAAAGAATATAGATAGATGCATCAACGCTTGGGAACATTGATATGTCAAAAATTTTAAAATGTTTTGTCAAAGATAAATAGATTTTTAAATATTTTCTTATACGATGCAAATCGGAGCTTGTTATAATATGCATTTTTCAACAACTTTTGTAATTTTCAATAATTTTTTATTAAACATTTTTAATCACAAAATCAGTTTGACATTTCATTGTCCCAGCAGCTGTGTCAAAGCAACTACCTGTATTCTTCTACCATGGACGCAATGGAATGTACATTTAAAATCGAGTGGATTTAGTAGTGTAAACGTACTCCTACTCCTTCAAAAAGAAGCTGATCGACAATTATTGTTTTGAAAAATAAAAACGAAAAATGTTCAATGTCAATAATTAAATGAAACCATGGTAGAAGAATATAGGTAGATGCATCAACACTTTGGAACAATGATGTGTACAAATTTTTAAAATGGATTTTTAAATGTATTTTTTTTATACGACGCAAATCAGAGGTTGTTACAATACGAATTTTTCAACAATTTTTACAAATTTTAATTATTTTTCATTCAACATTTTCAATTCCAAAATCGGTTTGACAGTTCATTGTCCCAGCAGCTATGGGACAGCGCATTAAGGCTGGAAATACATAAAGAGCATATTTGGCTGACTTAAGTCATCGGCTGGCTTCTTCGTAGATGAACAAAGGAGTTTAGGGTGGAAATACATAAAGGGCATATTTGGCTGGCTTAAGTCATCGTCTGGCTTCTTTGGAAATGAACAAAGGAGCCTAGGGTCAAAATCGAACTAAGTCAACCTAAAACTCCTTTATTCATCTACGAAGAAGTCAGCCGATGACTTAAGCCAGCCAAATAAGCGCTTTATGTATTTCCAGCTTAAATGTATTAAGATTTTTCCATGGAATTTTTGTCAGTTTGAATCACTTTTTAAAAAAATCCTTTTCATTCATGTTTCGTGGCTTTTAACTTATTTTGCATGGTAACATTAAGAAGGTAAAGGCTTTTCAAACAAGCATATACATCTATTTATAAATATAAATTTTGACAATTTGGAAACAAATTGTGAACGCATGGATATTTAACTTCTTAATTCTACCATGTCAAAAAATGAGTAAAAATATCAAATAATATTATTTAATTACAACTGAGTTTTACAAATTATTGCTTTATTTCTCTGCTATTACAAATGGAAATTTTCGAAAAACTTGCAGACACGATACTGTTTTGCTGCTATTTTTTTTTTCTTTTTGTAAAAGAACATATTTGGAGTAAATTCTTGAATAAATTAAAGCTTCTTGTATATAAATGGAACAGAGCAAATTTTCTTTTGAATAAGAGTTGTATTCTACTACCAAATATATACTTAGTAGACTGTCTTATTTACTCTATAGAAAGACAAAAATGTTTGGCATTGCAAATAAATGATGAAAAACAATCAAAATTTGTATTAAATTAAACGAAAAATACGAAAAACGGTCTGTGCATGAACTCAGTTCCATTGTCCTTTGTCAACGCTAGACATCAAAAATTTTATTAAAACATCAAAAATGTAAATAAAACATATTTAAATAAAACATAAAAGCTGTGCTAAAATTTGTTATTTGAAATAAAAACAATTTGCACAACTCCCGTATATCTTCTCAACGGCGTTACAAAAACAACTCCTCTGACCAAGAACAAATGTGCCGGCGGAATAAAATATAACACATGACGCCGTTACTCGCTGCCCCGCCTTTGTTGTTCTGGCATTACAACAAACAATACAATCATCAAATCTGAGAAGACTCTTTCGCGAACGCACGTGAACGGATAAATGCGTGTCGTCGTTAATTGAATACAGTTCGAAGTCGGTGTAGCGGGCGCGGGCTGCAAATTTTTCTGCAAGCAGAGAGTGAAAAACCAAGACAGCAAAATACACCAACAAAAAAGAGAAGAATAACAACAATAATTTTTGCAAAAAATTAGTGTAGAATTGTTTTGAAATCAAAAACTTCATATATTTGGAAGGAAATAAATAAAACACAGCGAGAAACTAGTGTTATACCTATTTTGTTTTGCGAAAAACAAGTTAGTGAAAAATTTGGTGTGCGTCGAGAAGAAAAAATAAAAGTAAGAAAGATAGGTTGCTCCAAATTTAATAATAAAAAAAGAAACAACGACAAAAGCCCAAAGGGAGTTTGTGAAAGCAGTGGAAAGTGAAAAATATGGTGAAAAGTACATGAGATATAGAATTATTTTTCCAAGCAATAGCTGAGAAAAGTGCCGAATTGGTTTTTGTTTTTTTCATTTACTAAAATAAAGTGAGAAATGTTGGAAAAAAGTAATAACAGTGCATAAAATTGTTATTTTATTTACATTAACAACAAAATTTATTTATGTGGGCCTGCCTGCCCCTCCTTGCGCTGAATCTTTTGTGGGGGCTGCATAGTACATAAACAAACCAACAAACAAACAACATAAAATTGCGCCGACGGCGACGACTGTGACTGCAGCAGAGCACGGCGACAGTAGCAGCCGCAAAGCAGCAGCAAATATCAACTGAAGTATATATGTGTTTGTGGCATTTAATGTGGGGTTTTACGCAGCGTGCCTCTCTGTGTGTGTTTTTTACTTTTGTCTCTGAGTGAGAGAAATGAAATGTGTATAGTGCCCCAACATCTGTCAAGATCTTGTTTGGGCAAAATAAGAAAATCACAACAACGAAATCTTATTAATAGACAAGAATGTGTCAAAACCTGAAGTTAATATCATAAATCATTTTTTATGTTGGAGAGGAGGATTAATTTACAAATTCAATCGCATTACAACGACAACAACAGCAACAAAGAATACAAGAGGTAAGTCCGATATGACGAACATCTGTTTGTGTGCCCCCTCCAAGCACAAAAAAGAAAAGAGTTGCCAAATTTTGTGATTATTATTTTTTTGGGAGAGCTGTTCGTGCCATATGTCGGTGGTTATGTAGGGAATTTGTGTCCTTTTTGATATGTGTGCAAGGCTCTCTCTCTCTCTCTCTTTACACTTGTAATGTGCTCTCTTCTGTTCTCTTGGTTTTTACAGCGTTATGATTTTGCACCTTGTGGTCCTTTTTACCTTATTTGGACAGTGGCTTGCTTGCCACCACCACTGATAACAATAAGCATATCCATATTGTTGTTGTGTGTCTGTTTCTCAGCTCTGCATAAAATGTTGACCTCTCTCCCCAATAAACCTTTGACTATCATTACAATTTGTTTTTGTCACATTCCGTTTTGTTTGCATACGCTCTACTATTTGTCGTAAACCCCCCCAAATGTCATCGTTTTACCATTCGTTTACTTTAGAACAACACTGAATTATGTTTACTTTTTTCAGTGTGTTTCTTCTTCGTTTCGTTGGATATGCCCCCCGATAGGTGTGGTATTAACAAAATAAATAACGTCCAGTTTGTGGTGGTGTTAAGATTTTATTTGTGGATTGAGAGAAAACAAAAAAAGAGAAGGGTGAAGAAATTTAATTAATGTTTATTTTTGTTTTTGATAAATGCATCTCTATGGTGTTTTTAGATAACTGCTTTCCAAAGAATATATTTATTTGTAAAGATGCATCAGTCCTAACCTCAAAGAAAATTCAATACAAGATACAACACCTTTTCTGTGAAAATATTAGGCAGATATTAAGAATTATGTTTATAGTTTTTCAAACTCTGAAATACTTACAATTAGAAAAATCAGAATCCCAAAATCTGAAACAATTTGACATCTACATCCATTTAGAATCAGGTTTGAAAGAACTTTGTAGTGTCGCCGTATGAAATTTACTCTGGATTATATTTTTCGAAATAATGTTGACTTAATCCTTTACCATAAGTTGGTGCAATTTAAACAATTAACTAACCTGAATCATAGCCGGTATGTAATTCTCATCTAATGTTTGTACTTGGTCATTAACAATTTTTTTTGTGGCTAGAGAGGATTGAAAAGACAGGCAGTTTTGAGAAAGAAAATATATTTCTATACAGATTTTATAATCTAAATGAGGAACAAGGAAAAAATAGTACCAGGAACTGAAAGACATAAACAAACACGACAGTGGCATTGCTCATTGCGAATAAAAGAACGACAAATTGAAATTCGATTGTTGCGATTCAAAATATTTTGATAATAACAAAACACGATCTCATGTTTAGCTTGCAAATTCCTGCCATGTTGAGAGACTTTCTCGTAAAACATAAGGAAATTTAACATTTCTTTTATGTCATTGCCAGTTCAGACTTTAACGAAGTGACAAATGATAGCTAGCCAATAACAAGTTTTGGTTCAATGGCAAGCAAGATGTCCCATAGTCTCTAATTTCTTATCTTAACAAACATTGAGATTCTGAATAAAATACGTTGTCCCATTAAGGAAAAAATCACATCTATTTCGAAACGAAAATGCTGGTCATAGACTGTTCGGTAGGTTCTTCTCTGACGTAGATTCTATTATAATCCTGCTAAAAGCATATCATGGTTGGCGAAGCTTTCGTTTCTGAGGATGGACACAGTGGACCGATGGTCTCCGGGTGAATCTGCTTCTGACTCTACTGTAGAGGCGCATCCTGAAATCTAACCTAAACTAAAAATTTAAATTGTGCGCCGTTTTTTACCATTAATCGTTTTTCACAATTTTACAATTCTCATATGGAAAGTTGTATGCAGCCTACTATTCTGGATGACCTCGGGCTTTCGATTATGTAAAATTTAAAAACATTCGATTTTGCTTTGCAGTGATTTATGGATTTATGAATAGATTTTGGGTTGTGAATGGATTTCAGGCAGATTGATTTCATTTTCAAAGGTTCCTCTAGGAACTAGTATGAGACCATGAGAAAAAAGTATGATACTATGTCAGAGTGTGGATCTTGAGTTTTGTCATTATCCTTGATTATTTTTTTTAGCCACAAAAAAAGATTTTTAAAAACATTTTGAATGTTTTGCTCGTTTTTGGCTATTCAAACAGTCACGGGATAAGTTATTTCCGTTTTATGTGTTTCAAACAATTCAGTTAGCTTCTCGATCGCTAAGATCTCTGCTTAGACTTTTTGAAATGTACTTTGCGCAATGTTCCATCATGAATTCGTGTGTGTAAAGCATCAGGGACACATTGTTACTGTTTCCGATGGTCTCGGTAAAGAAAGCTATTTTTTACTTGTCCCCAGGACTGAAATGGGCACGTTTGTCAAGGCAATTGACATAGTCTTCAAAACATTTGGGAATTTCTACGAATAAACAAATTTTGTTAAACATATTGAGAATTCACATAGGAAGCACCGTATTATATGGGTTCTCTAGTGATATCGGTCTGTCTGTCCGTCTGTCTTTTGTAATTAAGCTATCTTTCGAACGAATTGACATAGAAGGCTAAAATTTTGCATACATGCATAGTTTACCAGTAGGCAGGTTCGTAAATGGGCCATGTCGGTCCACTTTTTCGTATAGCACCCATACAACTGTACATCCCGATAATCGGTATTTTAATGATTTTAGCGACATTATTTACCGGAATTGTTTCAAATTTCGTATTTGAAGTTCTTATAGGTCCACAGCCTATGAAAAAGATTTTTGAGTGCAGGTCGAAGTCTTCGTAAAGCTCCCATATACCTCCCGATATTCGGTATTTTGATGATTTTAGCAACATTATTCACCGGGAGGTCCTAATGGATCGTACTGGAAGATTCTTATGGCAAAAAATTTGGTATACAGGTCCACGTCTTGGTATAGCCCCCATATGAACGTACCTCCCGAAAATCGTTATTTTCATGATTTTAGCGACATTATTTACCGGAATTGTGACAAATGTCGTATTTGAAGTTCGTAATGGGCACTACAGCCTATGACAACAAATTTCGTATGCAGGTCCACGTCTTCGTATAGTCCCCATATAAAGGTTTTCATTTCGGAGTTTTTTCTGAAAATTTTCAAGTTCCTTTGAAATGGTGGAGGGCATTAAAAGTTCGCCCCGGCCGAACTTTGCTGCTCTTGTTTCTTGTTTCCATATTATTTCATATAAAATAATAGTTTCGAAAACAAAACATTAAGAAGATTATTAGCAGAAATATTCGAATTCAGGCACATTTTCTACACTATCGAAGCGTTTAACTATAATTATATATTCCTCATTGTGTAGGTTATAAAAAAATCAAAACTAGTTTCTCTTTTTTATTATTCCATTTTAAATTAATTTTGAGTAAAAAAGCATTTCGATCCTGCCAGGAGTCGAACCTGGAATCTTCTGATCCGTAGTCAGACGCGTTATCCATTGCGCCACAGGACCACTTGGTATGGGTAAATATGAGATTGTATACTTTTGAAGACCCACATGCAATTCTGTCACGCACAAGCAAGCTCCAAGAATATTCGTAGTTAAATATTTTTAGTCGTGGGTTTTTAATAACCTCTGCCATAGTTTGAGGTGTATGTTATCTTCATCATTCCGTTTGTAACTTCTCGAAATCCTCATGTTAGACCCAAAAAATATATATATTCTTGATCAGAATAAAAAAGTGATGTACGTCCGTCATGTTTTGGTCCTTGCCAATATTCGGTATTCTGATGATTTTAGACACTTTTGCAGAACTACTACACTCTTGCAGAATTATTAAAATTCGGTACTGAGGATTCGTAATGGGATCTAGCTTCTGTGGCAGATCATTGCCTATAGAGACTCACGTTTTGCTATAGGATCTCATGTTTCGGCACTTTAGCAAATTTTTTCAAGCGAATCGTTTAAAATTCGCTATGTTTAATTAGTAATAGACGCTTCTGGTATGCGCTCATTATTTTCCATACCGCTCATAAGGCGATGCCTCTAAATATTTGGTATTTTCTTTGATATTATCCATATTTTTATACCCTCCACCATTCTATTAGCTTTTTCATTCCGTTTGTAACTCCTCGAAATATTCATGATAGACCCAACAAAGTATATATATATATATATATATATATATATATATATATATATATATATATATATATATATATATATATATATATATATATTCTGCATCAGCGTTAGCTTTGTTCGTCTGGGTTGGTGTCTGTCTTCGAACTAATTGAGATAGAAGTCTTAAATTTTGCACACATGTGTATTTTTGCCAATAGACAAGTTAAGCTCGTAAATGGGTTATGTCGTTCCACGTTTTCGTATAGCCCCCATATAACGGTAACTCCCGATATTCGGTATTTTGATGATTTTAGCGAGATAATTCACCCGAATTGTTTCAAATTTCGTATTCGAAGTTTGTAATGGGTAATACAGCCTATGGTTAAAAATTTCGTATGCAGTTCCACGTCTTCGTATAGCCCTCATATAACGGTACCTCCCTTAATTCCATATTTTATTTTAATGACATTATTCTCCAGAATTGTTTCAAATTTCGTATTAAAAGTTCGTAATGGGTACTACGGCCGATGCCAAAAAATTTCATGTTCAGGTATACGTCGGCATAGAGCCCCCATATAACGGTACCTCCCGATATTCGTTATTTTGATGAGTTTGGCGACATCATTCACCTGAATTGTAACAAATTTCGTAATGGATACTACAGCCTAAGACCGAATTGCCGATTTTTTTAAACTTTCGCATTTTATACCCACTTCAAAGAGTCCAAAACTGAATTAGCAGCTTTGAAGAAGGTTTTCGACGAAGCATTTTTAAAGCTTCAGCATTTTGAAAAAAAGTTTAATAATTTTCAATTCCTGGATGGATCTCCGAAACGAAAGAAATCCTCAGTTTTTGTACCTGGTGATGATTTGATCCGTTTAAATTCACCAGCTGTGGCTCAGCCACACAACGCTGCCAAATCTTTTGGCTCG